CCCAGGTGGTTGCCGTGAGCTCAGCTGATGTCTGAGGACCCAGGTTCAGAGGAACAGGTCAAGGACTCTCGGGCCCAGAGTCAGACGAGAGCACGGACAGGAAGGAAGCGGTTTATCGCGGGGTTAGTGCTGGCATGCCGGCGTAGCCTGTGGGCTGCCTTGTGTTTATGATGGGCTGAGCTTAGCAATTAAAACTGCCACTGTAATTGGAGGGTTTGCCGAATGTTTTTGTATATGCTTTTGTGAAACGTTTCATCGCTGTGAAATGAAAACGATCCTTTATTTGCGCGAGTGCATTGGAATGCTTCGTTCGCTGTATCCCATCTTGCTCTCCTGTGAGACACATACACATGTATACAGTTGAGAGTGAAGCTTAAGGTTTGAGGACAGGATCAGCCATTTATCCAGTGACCCTGGAGCATTTTGGGGGGGGGGGGTTAAAAGTCTTGTTAAGGGACCCGACAGACATGTGAATGTTCTGTAGAGACTCAAACCGACGACCTTCTGATCACAGTCCCTGGAGCTTTACCCGCCGAGGGTCACACCAGCCTCCTTTAACGGCAGTGCCCTCGCTGCTGGCTGATGCTCCCCGCTGCGCGAACTGGCTGGTGTGGAGGTGAGTTTGACGCAGCACGACGGCGTACGGCACGTGTCCGGGTACCAGGTCACGCACAGCAGGCAGGGCCCCACCTCCCAGCTCTAATCAGAGGCAACGCTGCGGCGTAACGCCGCGGTGAGCCTGTTCTGTATGCGGCCACCATACAGAGCCATGATATTAAACCAATTAAAATCAAGAGCTCTCTGACTGTATAATAGGCAGCAGTAATGATCTGTCACGACTCAGGGCCTGTTCTTGCCGTCTGTGATCATTCCACTTCTGCTAATCATCGTCCGTGTTTCTTAATTTATTTATTTTTTTTCTTGACGAAGTTTAGCCCGGCACCAGACAGATGATCTCAATTTAAGTGTGATCTTGTGTTGAGGCCAGTGGGATTTTCACACAAGCTGGGCTGTGCAGAGTCAGATGTGAGGCTGATTTAAAAGCATCAGTCATGTTTAAGGGCTCTTGGGCCGGACAAAAAAAAAAATAAATGCTTACAAATTCTGTGTGTAGATAAGGGAATATCTACAGTACGTCAGTCTGTTCCTATGGCAACTGTGTCAGTCACCTTATGGCAACAGGCAGACAGAGAGGTGTTTTTATTTGGATAATCTCCTTAAAAAGATCGCTTAATGTAAATAAGTGGGCTCTGCACGCATGCGACACCTACTGTGAACACTGCTGGAAGCTCAGAATGACAATGAGCTTATCCAGGCGAGTCCTGGTGCGAGAGATGCGGAGACTCACTGGCTTGAGCCAGGAACTTGGTCATGTGACCATTTGGAGTCTGCTGCATGGACATGGTGAAAACTGAGCACACATACGCCTCTAGGCGCTGAGCATAGGTGATAAAATCCAGCCTGACTGCCCCTCCCCTAATGAGACAGTGCTTTTGTGGCGTTTAATTGGGATAATTAGCAGTTAATGGAATGGCTGTGGGGTACATGAGGGCATGTAATACTTCCGTTATCCCCACTGATCGTCTCCATAAGTGCGGGTCACCGGTTGATTTACTAAGTAACGCGTGGATTAGCAGATGCTTTAGACACTCAAATATGGCCACTGCTAGTGATTATCCTCGATGAGACGCTCATTCAGAGCAAATGGCGGGACGAACCACGGCGGCCAGGAAGCCTCGCGGCCCGCCGGCCCTCAGGGCCGCTGTTTCGCGGAGGATGTTCTGGAGCGTGGGAACCGGTGTGTCTTCCACCGGCACAGAATGAGGCGAAAGCTGCACTTTCTCAAGCCCCATCATTATCGCCGTCGCACATCTCAGCCGACCTGTACACCTTCCGCTAATATACACAAGTCTGAACGGGCCTCGGACCTCTTGGCGCCTTTCTGGGCCTGGGATGAAAGGCTACTCTATTATCCCCCGCTAAGCTCTTCCAGTGTTTTTAATTGCAGTTCTTAAAGGGAAAAACAAAATTGGCCGAGAGACAAATTAATTGAGTATGCAGGGTCGGCCTTTCTGGGTCCTGCCGGATCTGAGGGCAGCACGACTGGAGACGCATCAAGCTGCTGGATATAATTAGCAGCAGCCTGCTAGGGCCCAGTAAGTTCTGAGTGCAGGACGGTTACCCCAGTAAGATCCTCTTATTCTTAGACCTGAGCGTCATTAATATTCAAACTGCTTTTGCTCATTTAAGGTGGTTGAGGGAGGTTTCGATTGGGGGACGTGTGTGGATGGGTGTCCAGCACAGGTCCTGGACGAGGAGAACCAAAGCAGGTGAAGCATGATTACATCGGGACGCAGTGTGCATACAACTGAAACCGGCGATTCCCCGAACTGCCACTGTTTGGCGCTGTGACGTGAAAGCCATCCACGGATCTGCATGCTGGTAACTGCGTGTGATTTTGGACAGATTTTGCCCTAAATGCCATCTTGATGATCTTCTGGGAGGTTGGGGGTGGGGGTGTGTTGGAGGTGACGTCTCCTAGCCGCACGCCGGAGGTAGGCGTCTCCCCTCCCCTCCCCCCTCGTTCTCCGTGGTTCTCCTGGAGCAGAGCCTCAGATGACGTCCCTGGCATCATGTGGCAGACGGACAGTAGCTCCAGAGACAGACTATGACGTGGCTCCATCTCAGACAGAGAACGAAGAGATTTTCCCCGTCTCTTAAAGTCAGACAGGCCTTATAATTACTACATGTGCATTATGTTCTTCCACGAGAAGGCGACATATCATTTAGGCATGTGGCACTACATCATCCAGGCGTAAATCAATTTACAGGGTTTCTCTACCTAATGGCAAGTGATTAAGCCATATACTGATTGCGCTGCTGTAAGAAATCACTGTGAGCAACCAGTTTTCTGGTGGAAAATTACAACTCAGGCTGTGTGTCATTTTCACTATCAAGATTACGGGCGTCTTTGGACTCCTTATAAGTATCACTTGCGTGCCTAATGACACATACCTGTTCTATCATAGCCAGAAGGTTTGGGTCCTTATAATATTGAGGGAAAGGATTACAGCCTGTCATCCAATCCATTTATGCCATAACCGCTTATCTAATGCACCACCTGGATGAGATATTTGTGAAATTATTACAATTAAAACTGTTTTTAATGAATGCATTACAGGGGGGGCATTTATTTAGAATAAGAGAGCAGCGCAGTGGTTAACACTCACACTGCTGAGACCAGGGTTGGAGTCTCTACCATAGCTCAATGTGTGGAGTTTGCGTGTTCTCTCCGTGTAAATTGGAGTTATCAAATTGTCCATAGGAGAATGTGCCCTGTGATGGGTTGGCCCCCCATCCTGGGTTATTCCCTGCCTTGTGTCTGTAGCCTCTGGGATTGGCTCAGACCCCCATGACCCTGAAGCAGCTACGAAAGATGGATGGATTTAAAATAACTCGCCACTGGTGTAGGATGAGCCTGAAGATAAATACCCACTCGGGCGGGAATATCTATTTATCAGTCTGCCCAATCGCCATGTCGCCCGGTTTCTGCCACCAGCGATTCCTCAGATGAGCTGTGCACCCCAAAGACGGTCAGTCAGGTGACAAAGCGAGAACATCGGCGGCTTTGCACCAAGCCTGGTGCGGCGCCGCTCCCAGGGACAGCTGCCAGAGCACATTACCTCCTCCGCCGCGAAGGGGCATGGGCGAGCGTGTGGCTCACGCCGAAACCACTGCAGCGTGATCGCTCTCCACGGGAACTCGGCGAGGGGCTGTAAAAGATTCTGCGGAAAGACGCTAAATTAACGACAACTGGTCCATAAACGTTAACATGCTAGTGTGTGGAATCCAAAGCGCTAAGTTATTGCGGAAAATAAAAAATATGGCTGGATACGCGTGAGGCAGACAGATAGCGGCGTGCCGCAGAAGGTCAGAGCCACTGAAGGCTGTGTGCAGCAGATCAGGAATGAGCGAGAAGATAAGGCAGAAAGAGCAAAGGTCTGCACTGCCGGAAGTGTGTCGGCTCCCTGCCCATCCAGCGTCCTCATCCTGACTCCATGCGCCAGAGCCCAGCTGCGGGAAAAAGCTTCCATTTGACCCAAAACTATGAGGATTTTATCTTTGCTCCATTTGGTGTCTGATCCCTGCAGTGTTTCCTCTCACTAGATATGAAAGGAAGGAAAAAAGGACAGTTAAAATGTATCTGACTCATCCAGAGTCTGGTGACTTCCAAAGCCAGCTTGGGCTGCATGTCTGTGTGTGTGTGTGTGTGTGTGTATCAGGCTAAAGGAGGGCACCTTTTAATAGCTGAAGATGGTCTCATCTGAACTCTTCTCACCTTTGACCAGAGGTGGAAATTTCAGGTCCAGAAAGTAATAATCCAGACCAAGATTTTGCTTCAACCAACCAGTTGAACCGACCACCTTCTAGATCCAGTCTGGGTTTTTACTTTCTAGGCCTGAAATTTGCACCCCTGCCTTTGATCATGATTGGGGGACCAGGATCTTCATCCATCTTCCAGACTGAGCTTATTGAGGTCTAAAAAATCCCTTAAGCGACCATTTTAAACACTTTTACACCTTTAAGGTTTAATAACAGAACAGCTTCTTCTGCCTCTGAGGCAGTTACATACATATAACATGAGGCACGCGGGTTGTGCCTCGAAGGTGTCCTCAGGGGGACAGCATCTCGCCTCTCTGACAGTACGAGCGCTGAGTGCCCCCCGGCCTTCATTAATCTCTCCCTCGGCAGATGGCAGAGCTGCTGCTGTTGAAGAGCAAAAGGCGGCTTCGCTCGGTGAGTTTCCTGGTCTGTGTTTCTCATCATCTCTCTATCTATCCATCCATCCATCCATCCATCCGCTTTTCCCAGGCAGCATGGGGTAGATTCCACATAGCATGCCAGCCTTTTCTGACAAGCGAAATTGGCTCAGGTACAGACAACACTCATATAACAATTTTTGGAAAAAAAAAAACAGAACAAAAAAAATTTACAAATTGTCCCATATTTTTTTCTTAATTTTATTTTTTTTTTTCTTTGTTCGGGGTGGCAAATGACAAAATCACCATCCAGTAGACCCAATTACACACACATACAAATCTTTCATGAATGGTCAAAATGGACCAAGCCATATGTCACATGATAAATGACACAGTGAAGCACACAAAGCTTAAGGTTCCGGTGAACTTATGACTTCATTGAAATAAAAAATCAATACACTTCAAGTGCAAGGTAATAAAAACAAGATCTGCAGCTATATTCAATCCTTAAGGCCACTTTGGAAGTGGTAGTTTGAATTAATACTTTCCTACAAGCGTGTAAAAATAAAACAAAATTCATCGTTTGTGCTTCTGCAGTTCACTATTTTTTTTCTCCTCTAAATATACAATTAAACTTATTTCAAAAAATAAAAGTGGATTCTAATGGTCATATTAATAGCTTCCCTAATAGGGTCTACTGGATTTACTCTGTTGAAAACGATGAGGTCTGTTATCTACGTTCCTTTGCGCCGCCCCGGAGCCTGGTGTGGAGAGCTCAGCGAGGTGCACCTGGACTCCGGTCCCACAAAAGCTCCTGTCTGATGCTGGCTCGAACCGTTGGCTCGGACAAAAGCCGTTTTATGCCCTCTAGCCTCCTCAAGAGAGTCCTTGTTTGGCTGTGCAGCGCCCCTTTAATGAGACCCATGTCACTCTTTGTCCCTACAGGAAACACAAAGACAATACGCACTGGCTCAGAGCTTCAGACGTTTGCACCATCCTCTCCTCGCCCCCTCCCTATCCCCCTCCCGCGCTCTCTCTCTCCATCTGTAAGCATCGCGTGTGAAAGCCTAGGGTGTTCGAACCAAAACCCAGGCCCATCTCCCGGTGGCGCCAAGTCCCAGCCCACGCCCATTCTGTAGTGTGGCGGCCAGACGTAAACATTTTCCATGGCGTGTTTCCGACTGCATATTGAGGCCCGTTGTAGCGGCTGTGAATCGTGGTTCGCGCCAATGACGTCCCAACGGCGCCGATTGTCTTTGCTCCATGGTGGACGGCGGTGTGTCTGACACGCGGCCGTGAGGGGGACGTGAGTGCCTCAGGTGCGGGGGAACTTGGTGGGGATGGGGCTTGAAGCAGGGCATGATGTCATCCAGCATGTCCATTAAAAACGGGGGGCAGTGCTTTTCCTACAAACCCATTAGGCAACAACAAAAGGATACGTCCATTACAAACGGGGTCTGAGGCGACCCCAGCGCGTTAGCATGCCGTGAGCAGCAGTGGCGGCAGTGTAATCGGGGGAACTGCCAGTCCCGCCCAGGGTCCTCTCTGAAGGCGTCCCGTCCACAAACGCAGACCCATTCAGCTCCAGCTCCCTCCCAGCTATTGCTGTGGTTCTCTATGGGCCTTCCGGTGGTGTCAACCCCGCTTTCCCTTCTCCCATTCACGCCCTCATTGGCTGGTTAGGATCCGGGTGGGTGGGGTCCGGGGGCTCACTTGCTGGCTCCGGTGTGGAGGTCGTCCCCGGGCGGGGGCGGGCCTTTGTTGCTGGCCCCGCCCACACCCTGCTGGGTCTCCTCCTTGTACTGCTGCAGGGCTTTGAGCACGGCATCCTCCACCAGCCTTTTGCTCAGGCTCAGCAGCTCCTCGTCGTCAGGCTCCTCCCCCCTCTTCTGACCTATACAACGACACCACCGAGATGAGGGTCACGCCCATATGGCCGGGGGAGGGGCCCCTGCACAGACCCACTCAACCCTGATTGGACAAATCCAAACCTACAAATCTCAGGCTGAAGTAAAGACTTTCATGAACTAAAGAATGTGGAAAAACATCCGACAGCATCAAGTAGGCTTTGTTTAAACATTCCAGGGCTAAGCTCTTAAATGACCATATTACGGACAGTTACTTAACGGGTGGATATTTTAGCATTACTGAGCACAGCGATCTGAGCACGGACTCAGCAGCACAGGGCCCGGATGCCGCCGTAATGCTGGGTCTAAACACAGACAAGGACACAGTGCCGTGCGTAAAGACTGAGACACGTACTTCTCTGAACAGCACTGGGAGAGCTCGGAATAAGATCTGCAAGACAAATAACATTCCTTCTTAAAAAGGCAAAGAGTGCAGCCATTTCACTCCTTGTAATTACTATGACTCCTTAAATCGGTGTGAAGTGATCAATAATCAGACTCATCAGAGAACAGCATAGATTGATTTCCAGTGGCGGGTCCATCATTAAATATTAATTTTGTGGAATCAAACACCTTGGATTATGCATCACGCTGATCGTCTGTATTACTCATGTTGATGCTCACCTTGCTGAACTGTTTTGATTTACTGTTGCCAGGGCGGGGGGGGTGGGGGGTGGGGGGGTGAACTTCATTAGCTCCACAAGTCCACACTTGAAAAAAGTCACCTCACGACCACATTCATGCAGATCTGGACTGGTGGGGGTAGCAGCCTATGCTCTCTGTCGCCGCCCTGGTGCTAACCCCCATAGCAAGGCCGTGGCAGTTCTGTTACATGGCACCCTGCTGTCACTATGCGAGTGACATGAGTCAATCTGCCTGTCACAGTTATCCTTAAATGAACCCTTCAGCTCATGTGGGGGCAGCCTAAGCACCCTCTCAGATTTGTGGCTCTGGTGAGGAGCTGGTCACCAGTCGTGCGGCGCTCCCTGGGGCTGCAAACAGCCCGGCTGGAGAGTGCAGGGGCTTCCTGTCAGGAAACTGCTGGCCTGTTAGCGGGACTCCATCACCACGGAGGGAAAGGGGCAAGGGAGACCAGCCGA